ACTACATCGATTTGATGCTTGAAAAAAATCGGTGATTTGACTCAACAAAAAAATGCTTTGCTTAAAGCAAAAAAGATTAGCAAGTTCATCTACAACCATCAGTGGGTGTTAAGTTTATCCCGGAAGATTCTGAAGAAATATCTACTTCGACCGGCCGCCATGAGATTCGCCACGACTTTTCTAACTATACAAAGCATCTATGAATCGAAACAAAACTTACAACAAATGTTTGTTTCAAACGAATGGGGGGCACCTTCTTGGGCTAAGAAACCCGATGGTAGAGAGATAAAAAAAAAATTATGGATGAAAGAAAATTTTGGCCTAGTGTGGTTTATTCCATGAAAACCACAATGCCACTTGTTCAAGTTTTAAGGCTTGTTGATGGGGAGCAAACACCAACAATGAGATTTATTTACGGGGTGATGGACGAATGCAAAGAAAAAAAAAAGCAAAGAACTTGGATAACAACCTCGCTTCTTATAAAGAAATTTGGGGCATTATCGATAAGAAATGAGAGTTGCAAATGCATCGTGATTTGCATGCGGCTGCCTACTACTTAAATCCACAATATCGATGGAGTCCCAATGTATCCGAGCATCGGGATATTAAGCGAGGATTGTATGATGTCATGGAAAGGCTCATGAAGGATACGACAATTTATTTGAAGATTGAAGATCAACTTGTTGCTTACAAAGAAAAAAGAGGATTATTTGGATATAGAGGTTCTTTATCGACAAATCTGACACGACCACCGGGTATATTATTAAGTAGTTTTGTTATTATAGTTATAGTTTTTATTTTATATAAATTACATTGTGTATTAACTTTTTTATAAACATATATAGTTACATGGTGGGGGGAATATGGAGACGATGCTCCGAAACTCAAGTCCTTTGCAATAAAGGTTTTGGGTCTTACATGTTCCGCTTCGGCTTGTGAACGTAATTGGAGTACGTTCAATCAAGTCCATACCAAGAGACGCAACCGGTTAAAACACCGAAAGAATGAACAATTTGGTTTACATCATGTACAATAAAAAGTTGAAGCAAAAGTTCATTAAGAGGACTAAATTAAAAGAAGATGACCCCTTAGTTGAACATGTATTGTCGGATGATGAGTGGATAGTCGACCCAAGTGATGGATGGTGAGGAAGATGACATTGGAGGTGGCGGGATATGAGGGGAGGAAGATGGCGGGGTAATTGGAAGTGCTAGAGGTGGCAAGGCTATTGGAAGACCTAGAGGTGGCGGGACAGTTGGGGAAGGGAGTGGAACTAGGAAAAGGAAAAATGTTCAAGTGAATTTGATTGACGAGGATGACGGGGATGAAGTGAATTTGATTGACGATGATGAGGGTGACCGGTTTGAAAATGATGCGAATGATGCTCATTATTTTATTTAAACTTATCACTAACTTGTGTTTTTTTGTGTGTGTTTCCTATGTGACTGTTTTTTGAAGTTTTAGACTTTGATGTTCTAGACTTATTTTATGTTTTTGAATGTGTTTTTTTTATAACTAATAGATTTGATATATATATATATATATATATATATATATATATATATATATATATATATATATATATATATATATATATATATTATTCTGCCTCGGGGTTACGCCTCGAGGCTTACACCTCATGAGGTGGAGGGAAAATGTCTCAAGGCGCGATCCGTACTTTTAAACCTTGGTTATAAAGACAAAAATGATGGTCGATTTATTAAATTAATCTTGTATGTTATTATTTTTTATGATGTGATAAGCCCAAAACTAGGGATGGTTCGAGTCTTAATGCGTTAATAAAGACAAATATGTAATACAACCAAAATCAAAGTCGTTTGAATTTTTGATTTGTTGAGAAACAATTGAATCTTTAGTAAAAATACAAAACATACACTAGTACATTTTATGCTTTTAGCCTTCAATGTTTCATTTCCTCATAAATGCCCCAATTTTTCTATTGTACTAAAACATTTTTGAAGATTTTTTTTTTCTAAAATATTATTTTAAAGTTGATCAAAATGAATTTCAAAATTTGAAACAAATCCCTTGATTTTTAGAAAATCACATTTCTTTTTACAAAAGATTCATATAAATATATAATCATATCAACCACAAATATACATCCATTCATTTAGATATGGTAGGTGAAATTGGACAAGACAGAACAGAACAGAACAGAACAAAATCATTTGAAATAATATTTAACAAGAGGGACTAAAACTAAAAAGAAAAGAACAAATCAAATGGGATTAAACCTTCAAATTTTAGTCTTGTCCAAAAACATAAAACAAAATGGGATAAGAACATTAAGACTAAAATACCACACCACCACTCACGTTCACGTATCCACTATGCAACTTAATACCATATGAAACCTCCATCTTTGCTCAATATCATCCGCAACTCCTCCACTATAATAATTAAAAAAAAAAAAAAATTAAAGATCATCATTCACTCATACCATGCGATAATTAAAAACAAATAAAATAAATGACCCTCCTTCACTATGCATGAAAAAAAAAAAAAATCTAAAATCCTTCCAAGTTCTTCTCGGTGATCAACTTAAAGGGTATGCACTACACAGAAACATAATATATATAGAAATGTTTATTGTTTTTACACAAAATAATAAATCTTTACCTTATTTTACAAAGCAAACCTTCTGTCATTATCCTTTTCAAATACAACATATATAATGCTACAAAAAGAAAACATATATTTTTTTTCTTTTATCAATGAAATGACGTTTTTACACTCATTTGTTCCATATACACTTCCGTTCAAATGAATAAATAAATGATGGAAAACTTATATCAGTCTAATAAAAAGACTAAAATACCAAAAAAAGACCTGTTCTGTTCGCTGTAGAAAAAAAAAAAAAAAAAAAAAACTGCAGTTAGAGTGATAATGTTTGTTTGTGTGTAGAATAAAATTGGTAAGTATTCATATTCTTTCTTTCCTTTGAGATTTTTTAAAATAATAATATTCAAAACATCTTAAGCGAAATTTTCATCTTATTTTGTTTCCATTTCGGCATCTTGTAGAACGCGTCTTTCGTCATTCCAAATTTCTCCCGGAAGTCGCTCGAGGATAGATACATCTACACGCAAGGGTAAAACAGTCATTTACCTTAACATTAATTATATATATATATATTTTTTATTAAAACATACCTCTCGCTTGGCGACATCAATATTTGGAGCAGGATCCGTTGACGATGTAGTAAGCCGATCATATGGGTAAAAAGTTCCCCCTTTTTCTTCTTCTTCTTCCTTTTCAACCTTATTCTCATTTGCATCTTCCTTATTTACTCCAAATCCCCCTATTTTTCTACTACTCATTGGTGTTCCCTTTGCGTTTGCCTCCATTTTTGATACTGGCTCCGACCTCGCCGCTACATTATAACACAATTTTACATTTTTCAAAAACTTTATTTTTTATTTTTTTTCAAAAATAAATAAATAAATAAATACTTACTCTTGATAGAACGAGGCATAAGTTTGTCTCGTGTAGGTTTATCAAAAGAGGCGGTTAGTGAAGCAATGGCTTTAGACTTGGAAAACAGTTTGGACGTATCAAGTCTGCCCGGAAGTTTCGAGGTGTCAAGATTGCCGCCGCCACCGCCACCACCGGTGTCGCCGGAGCCGCCGACTTTCGGAAAAAGTTTATTGACAACTGGCGGAGGAGTTGAGAGGTTTCTTTGTGCAGTAGGATTATCAAATTTTGAAGCGAGAGCGTTAAATGCCGGAGACCTGCCCCTTGCCCGAGGCCGGTCCGACCCGAATGACACACTCCTTGACCGTTGTGGTTTTTCGGATCCGGACCTTCCTCCGAATGACACCGGTGCTCGCTTTTTCGGTTTCTAATCACAAATCAAAACAATTGTTTTATTATTGTTTTTGGAAGCTAGGGTTTTGAATTGACGTGATTAAAAATTTAGAAAATTGTGGCTTACAAGGTTCATAGTTGAACGACCTCCATCTTTGATCAGAGAAAGCCTCCTTTCGAATGAGTTTCCATGCATCTGTAACGAATATTTAAAAAAAAAAAAAAAAAAGTAATTTTTATAATTCGAAGATACGAACGACGCTTACTCCGGTTTTCTTTGAATCCCATGTGAAGAAGCGTGTGAAGAATGGTGGTTCGCTTCCTTCCGTTATGATGAAAATTGGAGTTTGAAGAGATAATTTCTCGAGACGAATGTCGCGTTCCAGAAATTTCTGTCGGATTCCATTTAATATTTTATATAATTGAAATAGAAATGAATTTAAGAATGTGAGTAAAAAGTAAAAATAATACCTCTCCAATGGCTAATTTTTGTGTTTTGGTTTTTGCTTCAACTTGTTGCCCTACCCAAATAAAGATGCTTGAGAGAACATCAATGATATATACATCTTCTGTCAATAAATCATCTTGCTTGAAGTTGTGTATCTGATAAAGCTGCATAAAAAAAAAACCTCAAATTCAGTCTTTTGAAGTTAACAAATTCAAGGAATGTATAATGTATTATGTATACAATACCTTTAAACTGTCATCTGGAAGAAGAAAAAGTTGAAGCAAGAAGCATTAAAAAAAAAAAACTGTTAGTAAAATTATTTAAAAAAAAGTGGGATAGAGATTAGAGAATAAGAATATGATTTGAACCTTTGGACAATGTACATGAGAACAAATGAGGATCAGTTTCAGCAGTTGTTTGAATCTTTTGATTTGGATGTTTGGTTTTTCCTCCTAAAATTTCCCAAAACTGGTCTGATTCTGCTCCTTCTTTATGAACTCTCGTCTGCATATCAGGCTGCAACCATTTTCATCACAAGTTAATACACATCATGTATGTATGTATGTATGTATGTATGTATGTATGTATGTATGTATGTCTGTATGTATGTATGAATGAATGTATGCCTTTATGAGATCCAGTTGCCTCTCAGAAAGTTCATGATCCTCAGTAGTTGTCTGGTTTCCATTCCACATAAAGACAAGTGTATCCTTGTGTAATATGAAACAGTAGGAGGAGTTCAAGGAAGCTGCAACCTGACCCATTCACAAACAAAAAATAAATAAATAAATAAATAAATTATATTATGTATATGTAAACAAAATTTAAATATTATGTAAAGATTAGAACATACAGGATCAACTTGAATTGATTGCATGTTTTCAGGACCAGAGCCTTGAACTCTAAAGAGTCCAATTCCATCTTCTCTATAAGTATCATCAGGTAGTCCTTTTTCTGATATGTAATTCTTGTATCCTTTACTAAGACCACCCTGAAAGTTGATTGAAATTACAATTTTAGACAAAATTTCAAAATGAATGAAGAAAAATATACAATTCTTTCTCTTCTTCACCTTGAGAACCATAAAGCTCTGAAATATTGCATAGAAAAGGAAGGGTTCATCTCCTTCATAAACACGTGCCTACATAACCATATAAAAACATTCTAAAAAGATAATAATAATAATTTAATTATGATGTGAATGAATGGGGTATATAATATTATAACTAACCTGAGTAGCTAAAAACTTGACTGATTCAAGCATTTTGGTTATTAGTGACATCGTTGAATCTCTGTCTTCCTACAACACATAATTAGGGTTTTACTCTCACATTCAATTTGACAATTGAAATTGAATTATGAATTACCTTAACACTTTGTTTTCCAAACCATGTTCCCATAAGACATTCCTCTTGTTCATCTCCAGAATATGTATATTGAAAGATATAACAATCTCCAGTGTAGAATTTTGATTGTTCAATGTCTGGAAGAAGACTCTTTTCTTTTCCATCCACACGCCACACCTATGCAACCATTTTAGGATTAATCAATACAACATTTCATTTGTAAAAAAGAAATAAAAAATAATATGTTGTTATAATTTGTAAAACCTGTAAATTTCCACTGCAATCAATATATGGTTGAGGTTCCTCCTCATGTTCAGTAGAAGTTTTAATCAGACCCTTAACATCAAGCCCTCTACGTTTTAGAAGCGCTACAAAATCATCAATAAAGTATAATTTTAATATAATCTATTAATTTTTACTTCTAAAAGTTTTTTTTTTTTTTTTTTTTTTTTTTTAAGGATAAATAACTAACCAGCCACCTTCCCTCTACCATCTTCAGATGCAACCACATCACTCAGTGGAGGCCATGAATCAAACTTTGATCTGAAAGAAACTGTTTCAAAATTCTCAATCATTCGAATGATGTTGGATTTTGGTCTTTCATGAACACGTAAATGTTCCTGTAAACCAATACATTATGTATTATAATACGAAACTTGGAAATTTATATTTATATTTATATAGTTTGATGTAATGTTTACTTCTGCAGCTCCATTTGCAGCTTTTCTTTCTTCAAGATTAGTGCTTCTTCCTACCCATACATAAATTTCTGTTCCACAATCAAGAAGATAACAATGGTGTGTGTCTAGTAATTTCTTTGTCAATGAATCAGCAGCAACAGGTATTGCTTTCCCCTTTATGATACTTAAAACAAGAAAAAAAATATATATATATATTTTTTTTAGAATTTTTGCTAATTGTTGAATCAAGAGATAGAAAAGTATAAGAACATATTACCAAAGTAGCTGAGTAGGATAAGCATGAGTACTTTGAGCATCATTTGTAGCTGTTTTCTTTGGAAGTGGAGCAAATCCACCAAAGAAACCCCAGAATTCTCCAGCTTCAGCATCAGCCATTAATCTCCCATCATCTATTCAAATCAAACATATACAAGTGGAAATGAGATTGCAAGGGCTTTTCTGTAATTTTCCTTTTTTTATGCACAAATCACATACCAATGGTAGCTATGTCACACTTGTTAGTATGGTAAGTGGTTTTGATATACTGCACAACTTCTAGTGCTTTAGCTCTTTCTTGTATTGAAGTATTGGAACCATTAAACTGGAATATTTTTTTTTTAGTGTCCAAGATGCATATGTCTTCATGATTCAGAGAGGATCGAGCACAAGGAACCTGTAATTGTAAGTTATAATTTATAAGAGTGTGTTGTTGTTTAATGTGTGGAAAAGTAGCAATGAAAAAGAAACTTGCCTCATATACATGAACAACATGTTTTCCTTTACAAACAAACATACGAGTTTTGTGTTCTTGAGGTTCAGATTCTTCAGGTATAATACATGGTTTAAAAAGAGAAAGGAATCTTTCAGTTTCATGGGCTTGTAATTCACGATACTGAACAGCTCTTCCTCCAAGAGCTGCATCAAGTTCAAGTGTTTTTGTGGCTGCTGTGCTGGCATCATCCTGTAAACAAAAATTTAAAAGTTCATATGGAATTGAAAAGGTATAAGTCAACTCTTAGTGAGTCAAAGATTTTTGGTCAACCTTGTAGAAAGAGGACATGTATCTTCTTTATGTTTTCAATTGCTATTTCTATTGTTTTATGTAAACCAAGAAACAAGATAAGTAAAGAAAGTAATGTGATTGAACCCAAAAGTGAAAAGAAATCGGTTTTTTGAAGATAAAAGATGTTATGTGATGAAAACTCACCTCAGTTGCATCTTTACCTAGCCAATAATGGATGTCATAGCGGAAGACACCACTTTTTTTTGTAACAGTCTGTAGAATAGATGTAAATTGCAGTATTCAGTATAAACAAATAAATAGTAATCCAAGAATAAATGATTTACTAAGTCAAATAAAGTGTTCTTTTCTTGTTAGAAAACATGGCCAAAAAGCATCTTAGATGTAACTGTTCTTTTCTTGATAGAAAATATGAACTTTGTTTAAGATTAGAGAACACACCTTCAAAATAATATAGGAATCCCCTGTAAAAAATTTACCATAAGAAGCCTCAGGGATAGCCACTGGCTTAGAATTCTCAATCTTCCATACCTCAATTCCTCTAATTGTCAGTGAAGATGTAAAGATTAACATTTATAAAGAAGAAAAAAAAAACTGCACTCTGAAAGCATGTAATCTATGTACGTATTGAAACTCCCAATATTCAATTAAATTGGAAGAAAATTAACTATATTTGAAGTGTGTAATAGTAGGGAAAAATAAGTTCATAGTTCAAATATGTTGAAGAGAAAGGATACGCTTTTTGTCCAGCTCCTTGAAAGGCTGGATCCACTTCTCTCATAGAAACAGCCATGATTGCTGCTTTATGCTACAATTAGTTTGGGTCTTTATCACCAAAACCTAAATATTGGGATAGAATACCTGAAATCCACATAAATATGCATTAGACTTCACATAATGAAACTATGTTCTTGTGAATACTTTGATTATAGGTGTATATCAGGAATATTAGTAATAAGATTGCAGATTGCTTTACTTCATGTTGTTCCTACAGCTGAGTTAGTTTCTCTAAACAAACAAAGCATTGCATCTACATATATTTCAATTGTTCTTCTAATTAAGTGACTTGATGTATTTACAATGTATTGTTCATCACCATGAGAAATCGAAAGTTATAATTTTGTATCTACATAACGGAGTTTATGTAGTTTGTATGAAAATGGAGAATTCAGGAAAAGCTTTCGAAAATTTCAGGAGATCTTCAAAGTTTGTGTCAATCGAGGTGACCATGATCACATAAATGCATAACAAACTTACGATATCAAAATTGACACGAAACCAACGCAAATTATGATAAATGTCACGTATATATTACACAAATTCGTGGAACATATCATGAAAATGAAAAACTAACACAATGCAAAAGCAAAATCGGAAAATGCACAAATATATTCGGATGAATTACTACATTACCGATTACCCTGAACGTGTGAATCCAATCCAAACGTGCGAAAATCTGAATAAAACATGAGCTGGCTTCTGCAAACGCGAGAAACAGAGCAAAATTGAAGATGAGAGAGAGGATTCGGAGTCTAGAGAGAGAAAATTTCTGAGAAAGCGAGAAAAATGGGGTGTTGAAGGAAATGGTGAATCGCCATGCGTGCTTGGCACCAACGGAAGCTCGAAAAGTACCCATACAAACACACACCACACACACGGAGAAAGAACCGTTGGGTTTTTCATTTTCATTATTAAGCAAATTAACACATAAATATTTTACCAATTTATGGATAAGTAAATCCATATAAAAACATAAATATTTTACCAATTTATGGATAAGTAAATCGATATAAAAATCTAGAAAAAAATTTCATATTGCACTTTGAGTATAATTATGGAAAACGTCATGTCATTGGTCCCTATGATTTTAATTAATTACGCGATTGGTTCCGCTTCTAACCCCATCACTTTTGTACCATAGAACATGGGTATTTTTGTCTTTTTAATTAGTTGTACATTAGACTATACAATTGGACCCACACATTTGTTTCTTTCTATTTCTATTTCTCTTTCCCTTTCTTCCATTCTTCCCCACTCAAAATCTATGTTTTGGTGTCTTCTTTTGTTATAGCTTTTGAAGGATTTTCCATGTGATTGTATGTTATTGGGACAAGGATATTTAATGGTTATGATATCTAATGTAAGCTTCATGTTATGTTTTAGTGTGAACCGGTAATAGAAAAAAAAACAAATTATCAATTTGATTGCATGTCCATGTAAACTTGATTGTTAATGTGCAATACCATAACCAAACTACCAGTTTCCAAATTGGCATAAGCAAAACTGAAAGTGTATTAGTTCAAACATATTAGACCACAATACCATTAACCTATATGTCATGAACCATTCACCATAATGCATCTTACATGTGATTGTCTAAGTGCAAAACCATTAACCAATATCATGTTTACAAACATACATAACCAAAATACCAATACCATAAGTAATTGTTTCTACAAACCAAAAGATATGTTAAATACTTAGACCAAATTACTACTTAATTAACATAATAGCAAACAAAAGCATACTTCAACCTATAATCTAAATTGTTTAAAATTAAATGTAGTACTCCCCTTTCCAACTTCTCCAATGTATTATTTATAAAATTAAATGTTCAAATTAAATTTTTTTTTAAAATTTTTTTTTACAATACATACTGTCGTTTTATTATTAATATATTACCAATTTATGGATAAGTAAATCAATAATAAAATCTATTTTGTTGCATAATTTTATAGAAAAAAGATTATAAATAAATCCATTTTACCTTTTAAATTGATAAAAATATGTAAATTTGTTGCATGAAATGTTGTTGACCCTAAAAGCTTCAATTTTCTATATATAATATAACATACTAAACAAAATCATATTTTTATAAATATAGTTTTCAATTTAATGTACCAAACAAAATCTGTAACTATTATATTTATCCCTTTTCTTAAGAAATTAGACTATTAACCATAAATTGTATATGATAATTGTCATCCTGAACGGATTGATGATGTGTAAATTAAATGGAGATTTGATAATTTCACATCTTCTTTTATGAAGATGATGTGATCATGCTTGGTGATTTGATCTGGTTGAATATTACTAATATAGTTCGAGTTCTTCATTATTTGTTTTTTCTGGTTTCAGGATTAAAGATTAATTTGCACAGGTCTAATATTTATGGGTTTTGCACTTTGTTTGAGGAAGTCAAAAGATTTTGATTTGGTTGTAGGGTGTCGTCCAGATAAATTGCCTTTCATTTATTTAGGACTCCTCGTAGGCCAAAATATGTCTAGGGTGGTGGCTTGGAAGGTGGTTATAGATAGATATCAGAAAAGATTATCAAACTGGAAGGCTGCTACTCTATCTATTGGTGGAAGATCGATGTTGATAAAGTTGGTATTTGGATCGTTAGGTATATTTCTTGTCTTTGTACGTTATGTCAGTTGTTGTTGCTAAGAAGTTAGAATCTCTACGTGTGATTTTTTTCCTTGGGAGGAGCAGATAAAAAGCATAAAATGTCATGGGTACAATGGGAAATTGTGCTAGTGGGTAAAAAGAATGGTGGTCTTGAGATTGGACGTTTGGTGGCTTTTAATTTTGCGCTTCTTCAAAAATGGTATTGGAGATTTTTACATAATAGTAATTTTCTTTGCGTTAAAGTTGTCAAGGAGTTATATGGTGAGAATGGTGGTCTTAATCGAGTTAGGTATTTGGGGGAGACACCTTGAGCTCGTATTCTTGCTTCCTATTCTAAACTTTGTTCACAGGGTGCTGATTAGATTATGTATTGTATAAGAATGAGTTAGATCTTAATAAAGATTAATCTATTGCTGATAGAAGATGTAATGGAGACTAGAATTGGGATTGGCGTCATGAAATTCAAAGATGTTTTAAGTTTTAACAGTTTTCAGATTTGATGAAGTGTCTTCCTGAAGTTGTTTTTAATGATAAACCTGATTTTGGTTGTGGGAAATTGGGAAAGAAGAGATTTTGACGATTGGGGATACTAGAAGATGGATTGATAAAATAATTATTCCTTCTGTGCAACCAGAGAAATCAGGTGGAATCCTTTTGTACCTAGGAAGGTAAATATTCTTCGGTGGAGAGTTTTATTGAATAGACTTCCTACTCGTTTTAATTTGGAGGATAGAAGGATTGATGTCACTTCGATTTTATGCCCGATTTGTGATTTACATGTCGAGCAACTTTAACATCTTTTTGTTAAGTGTGAGGTGACAGCTAGAACTTGAAATGAAATATTTCATTAGTTGGAATTGGATCGATTGGAGTTGAATATGTTCAAGGTCTATTTTCCATAATGGATAACCTTATTATCAATCCCAAAAAGAAAGATGATATTGATGCGATTTTTGTACTACTGTTTGGTACATTTGGAAATACAGGAATAATATGGTGTTTTAAGCTAGGAAGATGCTGAAAAATGATATCATTGACTTCATTAAAGATTTTTCTTTTTTATGGTTTTCTAATAGGAATCATAAATGTTCTTTATCTTGGATTAGTTGGTTAACTAATCCTTTAAACTTTTTGTAAGTTTCTAGTTCATTGCTAGTTTATATATATATATATATATATATATATATATATATATATATATATATATATATATATATATATATATATATATATATATATATACTTGGTCGTTTTTCCCTTGATGAGTTGATGTATGTGAAATACACTAAGGTTATGTTTTGCAATTTGTAACTAGTTTATATGATACTTTTTTTTTCGTGTTTTGCAAGACAAAAATAGTTTATAAACTAACTTTTTAAATAACTAATAGACTAACGCTCCTAAGAGCTAATAATTTTTTTTTTTATAATTTTTTCAAATATATCCTCATTAAAAAATAAAAGTAATCATTCATCATTTTATTATATATGTTTTTTTAATATTCGGCAATCTTTTCCTTGTAATAATTTTTTTATTAGAAATGGGAAACATCTCACAAGTGTAGATGTTAAAGTTCATTTACTCAACTATCATTATTGCTGATGATATATAAAATGAAATATTTGAAGTTAACCTATAAAAATATAATTTTGTTTGTTTTATTGATTATATTCCAAAAATTATACAAATTCACTAAGAGCATAACAGTTAATTACTATATACAACCATTTTTTATAATAATATTACAAATTTGATTTATTTTTTTCCCTTAAACATAAATAATCAAGAACGATTAATTTAGTACTTTAATTTAACAAAAATATATTACATGCTCGTTTTATAAAATCGAATAATATGCCTTTTTTTATGTCATTTTACATTTCCTAACTAGTTTTTCAACTAGTTTTTTTTTTTTACTCCAATCATCGTTTTCTATTTCCTGGTAACTAGTTTTTCAAGCCGATTCCATGTCTCTTTGTTAGGTAGTGGAGATGCTTTAAAAGTCAAGAGCCTCCCAAATCGCAATGGATCTTTTTTTTCAAGAGCTTTCTAGTAACCTTTTTTTTTTTACAAAAAATCGATTAAAATAAGCCAAACATTGTGTGAGCTTAATTCACTATAAATTCTCTAGAGTTTGGAGGTTGAATGAGGTTGTATGATCTACTTTCGGTGAACTCTCCAGAGTTTGGAGGTTGTATGAGATTGTAAGATTTGCTTTCGAGAGGAGAAGTGTAATAATCTGAGATGGCTTCCCAAGATACATTCTCATCCTTCACTCGACACCCTCCATCAAAGAAATTTGGTTTTATTGGTGCTTTGACCATTTTGCCCTTCCAAGTCAAAATAGCCACAATCTCCGACATGGATGGCCTTACGTTTGCT